TTTTTCAGCTGCAACTGCACAGCGTGCAAGGGTAAAAACGCGAGGCGCAGCAGGCAGTTAGAACACAAGCAAGGCGCATAAATCATCCAAAAAAGGTGCTTCTCAACTCAAAAAAGCGAGTTCGGTGTGATCAACCCCTTAAGAGGCTGGCTACCGGCCTGATGTCAGTCATACTTATTGCAAAGGTTTTATTATTGGTATGCGCAATGTAGATGACAAACGATGTATATCACTTTAAAATAAATAAAGCACATGCAACTTTGTAGCTGCAATTTGCAAATCATAAAATTCCCCAAACATACTAATGCAATATGAAAGTGATACTATTCAGGATTGTGTTTTATAGCAGAGAATAAGTTAGACAGACTCCACAACACTTTTGGCTATTCCTGGAAAATGGGAGGGGCTACTTGACATGCCCCGCCCTGTGTTTGTGTCTTAGTTACAATTACATAACACGTTGCACAAAGCTGTGCGTATTTTGCACTTCAGGGGATCTTTAAGTGAAGTAGGATGGTATTTGTGTTTGTCTTTAATATTATTAGAGATTAGAGATTAAATATTTACAGAATGCAACTTTTTTAAGCATAATAGTTTTAACTAACTTCTGATAATGAATTTCTTTTGTCTTTGCAATGATGACAGTTCATAATATTTACTAGTTATTTTTTAAGATACTAGTATTCAGCCTTAAATTTAATTTGTAAGCCTTAACTATGTTAATTTGGTTAAGTTAGGGCAATTAGGCAAGTAAGTAGACAACTGTGGTTTGTTCTGTAGCCAATATTAACTTTAAAAATGATTTAAAAGAATTAAAAATTGCTTATATTTCAGACAAACTGAAATAATTATTATTATTTTTTTTTTTATCCAGAAGAAAATTAAATATAATAGGAAATAAAGTAAAAATGTATTTTCTCTGTTAAACATTACTTGGCAAATATTTGAAAAAAGAATTACAATTTCACAAGAGGGCTAATCAGTTTGCCTCCAACAATATATGTTACCCTGTAACACAAAATTGTATGTTACATATGTAAATTTTAGGTATATTTTTAGCAATAAATCAACCATAAATACATGATATGGTTCAAAATAATAGATTTTATGCCAAAAATCATCAGTAAAGTGTTTCATGAAGATGTTTTTTACAAGTCTATAAATATATGAAAACATTAAAGGTGATTTTCTCAGTATTTTTGGGAGTATTTTAACCATTTAATTCTAGACTTTTAAATAGTTTTATCACAACAAACCAAACATCAATGGAAATCTTATTTATTCACCTTTCAGATTATATAAAATTTCCAAAAATGTACATTTATGATTGGTTTTCTGATCAAAAGTCATATATATACATACATGTTTTGCATTTTTAGCCATTTTTAGCCTACAAATTTTGAATGGGCTATAGCTTAATTACCATAGAAAACATGGGTCCATTGGCCAAACCATTTTACCAGACCACAAACAGTTACAAGAGAATTTGAGGAAACATTTCAGGAGAGCTTTTGTAGTGAAACGATCAAAAAGAGTAAGTGATGGACAGCGTGTTTGTATGCTGGGTGGAGGTGATGCCACGTGGCATCGAGGGGCTGCAGCTGTCTTTGAGCACTGTGAAGCGTTCTAGTTCAGTGGAGCAGAAACGGGCCAGCCGTACAGACACAGCAGCCAGGTAGAAACCTCCTAAACACACACACACTCACTCACACGCACACTATTGCTGGCAAAGTCGCGAAGTGAACCTACAGCTGTGTTCATCTGATAGCACAGGCCACTGACTTATTAACACACACATGAGAGCGCACCTTTGACACTTAAACACACTTTAATCTGCAGAAAACCCATGCTCCGAGTCAGAAACGGAACTGTGTCGCCCTCAATAATAATGCAACACGCTTGTATGAACTTTTTAAACAAAAAAGGGTAGGAGACACGCTTGGCTGCACATGATCCTGAAGTCTTGCGCATCTTCACTGCTCATTATTCATACATGCACACTTCAGAGTGCGCCATGTACTCAACAACCCCAACAACAGGGCCTCAGAACACCCCGTGCCGATCACTAAACAATTACTTCTTAGCAAACAAATGGCTTCTGGTCGCAGGATGCTTGTTGTCAGGTTGTTGTTTTTTCCTCAGTGATGGGGAGTTCTTTTTGAACTGCTCCCTTTGATTTACAATGTTTTGTATGGAACAGTAGAGCGTGTATTGTTGTATATGCATGAACAGATTGTGTGTGCAAAGCCACTATGGAGGATCGCTTAGTTTGACTTCTTTGAATGTAATGTTATGATTTTATCAGAGATAAATTATGTTTGTACACTACTAGTCAAACGTTTGGGGTCAGCAAGGTTTTCTTTTATTACATAAAAAAAAGTAATATTGTGAAAAAGTATTGCACTATACTGTCTTATGTATATATTAGATTAGTGAGTACCAAAACTGAAACTAATTTAACAGAGGGTTTCTGCTGGTTTCACAAAGTCAAATGTAAGACTTTTTAAGACCGTGAAGAATGAACTTTTTGACTTGTATAGGGCTAAACTCTAAAGTTTTTTTTTATGACACATAAGATAAAAAAGCCCTATATAATATGATTTGCCTATAACTCTAATTAGTTATTTCTTAGCCATCTATTTTCAATAATGTGTCAAAACAAGCAGTTATGTACATATATTTTTAATTAACAACATATAAAAACTTAATGTACAATATGTACAACATACTGTTCTAAAAGTTTTATTGAGATGTATTTGTTGGTGATTGGATGTGTGTTGGATTTATTGGGTAGCTTTACATAAACAGGAAAAGTAGCATAGTGGTTAAGTGCGCCGACATATATAGCACCAAGGTGCTTATGGCAACCTGAGTTCGATTCCCAGCTCGAGGTCCTGTGCCACTCCTTCACCTCTCTCTGCTCTCAATGCTTTCATGTCTGTCCTTCATTGTCCTATCACATTAAAGATGAAAACCCCCTAAAATTTTTTTTTTTTTTTTAAATAATAATAATAAGTTGATTTTTAGACCTACAAGACAATATTTCAGTCAATTTGAGACTTTTTAGGGATTAAAAATTTGATTTTGAAATTTAAAACATTTTAAGACTTTTTAAGACCCTGCAGATACCCTGTTAAATAAAAATGAATGGATAAAAACTTAATATCACAGTCCAAAGATTTGTAAACTTAAATGAATGTGTTTGAGATAAAATACAATTAAATTCAATTTTAATGAACACGAAAAATCAAGAGAAACAAAAAATTATATATTATATTTATTTGAAATTTGTAGTTTGAAAAAATAAATAAACAAATAAATAAATAAAATAAAAAATAAATAAAAATGATAACAATAATAAAAATAAATAAATCAATAAAAATAATTGCAATAAATTGTTTGAATTTATTTAATTGTATTATATTTCTATTCCTAAATATATTAGATATAGGTGTTTAATGGATTCAGTGCCTATAGAAAATCATCATATCCTGTGACAATCTATACCTTTACTCACATTACAAAAGACCTTCAGGAAAAAAAAAAGTTGTAGAAAGGCACATGTTAGGAGAAGCCTAAGACTGGAAAGGTTATTTGGAATGTGATTTGATTTCAGACTGCATAACAAATTAGTTCAAGGAGGTTATAATGTTTTTCTATAGGCACTGTAACTGTTTTATTAAGCTGTTTTGTTTAAATACCAGAAAGATTATTGCCTATAATCACTGAGAAATTGATAAATGATTCATTTTTAGAGGAGGTGTACTCGTTTATGCTGAACACAGTCTATTCACATACAAAATAAGATTATAATATCAATAAAGTCTTCAGTTTTACATAATTCTTCAGAAATCTTAAAGTGGTGATTTTTCTAAAACTTTTCTATAAGTATTACCAAATGTTAAAAAGAGGTTTTGAGAAAACCTTACCATTTTTAGATTTATTTTTAGAAATATTAAAAGAGCAGGAGGTACTTGAAGCCATAAATTATTCTACAAGTCTCCTTACTGAAAAATAACTAAATAATAAACTAAAGTTTCCACTCATATACAGGAATCGTGGATATATATTTAGATTTTATTTTGATTCTGTGCATCACTGCTAAATAAGTTTATAGATTTTTTTAAAGTGTGTTTTTTTTTTTTTTTTTGTCATTTTTGCTGATACACATTGTTATTCGTCATGTAAGTTATTCCACCAATTTTTTTTTCTTAGTAATCTTCAACCAAAGTTTGAGCATTCGCTTCCATATTTGAAGTGGTGGTCCTTCTCTGTTGACATCAGTTTGATGAATTCAGCTGCAATTTTCTTAACCACACCCCTCTACCTTTAATATGCTATTAGGCAATGATGCACAAAAAGGAAGCCCCACCCCCTACTCAATATAATGTTTCAGTTGGATGTGCATCAACATACTTTAATAAAAGTCTCAGCAACAATCCGGTTCACACTGACTTAAAAATAAATGAAAATAAATAAATAAATAAATAAAAACTGACCCCAATCGTTTGAATGCTATATAGTAGTCAAAATTATCCTGAAACATTATTATTAATGTTTAATATTATTAATCCTAAAATTATTCATTCAAAATTATCTCCAAAACAAAAATGAGTGTTAATTGAATATGTTTAGGACATATTTAATGAAAGTTTTAGATTTACTCAGATGTCAATTACTGCATTGTGGATTTTAAAAATACAACAAATACATATATGCCTTTAATGTATTAGAATATAGAAAGCAACTCTGAATAGGATGTTGTTAAAAATGTGTGCTCTTTTTTAAAAGACTCCATCCCATAAAGCCACACTTTTATTTGTGCAAAATCAAATCTCCCAAGACAAACTCCATCACCCATCATAACTTAACATAACTGTAATAACTCAACTTGCAAAGCTTCCACTGGACATCCTAACTAGCAAGGCATGTGGTGATCAGATATGTTGCAACACACACACACACACACACACACACAACATGTAATATCCAGCTCTTACCTGTCGATAATGACCGGGTCAGAGGGCGTCTCATTACGATTCCCACAACTTTTCTTGTCACAGCAGCGACTAATAGAGACGGAGGGAGAGGAAGAGAGGAAGAGAGCAGTTAACCTGGGTGTTACTGCACATATGTCAGCTATGACCTCAAACTCAGTGAAGGAAGAGGTAGCAATTATAAAGCAGTCTTTCTTTCACTCCTCCAAGGCAGGCATTCACTCCTGCTGTACACACCGAACACAATATGCTGCCCCTCACACTGTGTTTTAGTAATTACTGCTAACAGACTCGGGGACAGTTGCTGAAGGATCAGAAGTGTGGCTGATAACAGGGCATTTATCAGATGATGGAGAGAAGAGTCGAAGTCAGAGAGTCAGAAAGAGAGGAAAGAATGGAAAAGGGGAACAGCACTTCAGCTGTATATGCATCATGGAATGATTTCAGATCAGAAAAAGTCTCTGTGTGTTTTCAATTTTTGCCAATGTGTTCTTAAAACAAATTATTATTAAATATTTACATTTATATTTATGCATTTATTAATAAAATATGATTGATTATATTATATTATAATTTATTATATTATATTATATTATATTATATTATATTATATTATATTATATTATATTATATTATATTATAATTTATTATATTCTATTATATAAAAAATATTATATTGAAAATTATTATATAATTATAATAAAATTTGTTCATAGTGAGTCTAAATAATTTATACACAAATAATGTTACAAATAAATACAATATTTGATTTAAATATTTATTTCAATGCAGTGTGGACAGACCCTAAATGCCAAATAAAATCGAGTGTGACTTTATGCAGTCAGAATGCCCTCTTATAACTTAAATGAATATATTTTTTATGATTAAATACACACCAATTACAACCAATATACAGCGTTACTTTCTAGCTTTCTGTTTAATGTTGAGGAGCCGTATAACAGTTTAACTTTAGCCTTAACCTAAATATGCATATATTAAATTAGGGACATCACAGTGGCGCAGTGGGTAGCATGATTGCCTCACAGCAAAAAGGTCACTGGTTTTAGTTCTGCCTGAGTCAGTTGGCATTTCTGTGTGGAGTTTGCATGTTCTCCCAATGTTGACGTGGGTTTCTTCCGGGTGCTCCGGTTTCCCTCACAGTCCAAAGACAAGTGCTATAGGTGAATTGAATAAACTAAATTATCCGTAGTGTATTTGTGTTAAAGAGAGATTGTATGGGTGTTTCCCACTACTGAGTTACAGCTGGAAGGGCATCTGCTGTGTAAAACATATGCTATATAAGTTGGTGGTTCATTCCACTGTGGCGACTGTTGATGAATAAAGGGACTAAGCTAAAGGAAAATGAATGAAACAATATTAAATCAGGATTTTTGGCAAGTTTTTATTACAAAAGGAAATCTTAGCTTGATTTGGGACTCTATCTTGCAAAATCCTATTATATCTCTAGTTAGGAAATCTTAAATTATGTCATTGAGTTTGACAATACACTCTCAGATCTATTGCCAAGCAACAGACACTGCACAGGCTACTAATGAGTTAGCCCAGGGATAGGCAAACTTGATCCTCGAGGGCCAGTGTCCCTGAAGAGTTTTGTTCCAACACTAGTCAAACACACCTGAACATGCTAATCAGTGTCTTTAAGATCACAAGAAATCTATAAGCAGGTGTGTTTGATTAGGGTTGGAGCTAAACTGTGCAGGACACCGGCCCTCCAGGACCGAGTTTGACCAACCTTGAGTTAGCCTAAACAAAATGCATAAACTAAACTGGTGGGAAAAAAAGTAAAGCATTAGCCACTTACACTATTTGGTGCTTTGTTGGTCCCTGAAATGCTGATTTCTATTTCTATGCTAACTCTAATACCACATTGTAGGGCAGTCTGTAAACTTATAAGTGTTTTGTCATTTTTTTGTCATCTACCATTAAATGTTCGTTCTTATTTTTCAATTATAAATAAATAAAATGACATTGTTGGACAGCATTTATAAGCATTTTTTTATTATTTTGAATTTTAAGACAGCTGTCGAGTAGCCCTAAAAGACATTCATTCGTCGGCGCAATAGCCTAGTGGTTAGCACACCGACATATGGTGCAGTAGCATGTCAGGGCATACCAAGTTCAAATCCCGGCTCGAGGACATTTCCCTACTCTACCCCCCTCTCTCTCTCCAACTTTGCTTGCTGTCTCAATACTGTCCTATCTAAAAAAGGCCAAAAATAAATCTTTTTAAAAAAAAAGACATTTAATCACTCCGACTTTTCCTTCGACTTAGTCCCTTTATTCATCAAGGGTCGCCACTGTGGAATGAACCACCAACTAATCCAGTGTACTGTATGTTTTACACAGTGGATGCCCTTCCTGATGCTACCCAGTACTGGGAAACACCCATACACTCTCACATTTACAAAAATACACAGGGTGTATGCAGGAATCCTAAAGGTAATTTCAATACCTTTTTAAGACTTTTTAAAGACCTTCTCAAAATATGTTGAGACCTCGTCGCCAGTTCAAGTTCTAATCAGTATCAAACCTTTAACTTAATAAACAGTTGATAATAAACAGTTGTAGTTAAACAAATCAATGGAGCACAACCACGCAACAGAAAGCTCGGAGGAAACAAAGATTGAAAGAATAAATTACAGTTGCTTTCAGCGACAGGTTTTAATCACTGTTTAAACCCATCTTTCTCCAACCAGGAGTACGCAAACTTACATTTTCACATTTTGCCGTCTGTTTCGCTCTATGGTTTTGATAAATGTAGGGAGCGACAAGTCACCAACAACTTAACATCACCCGGATGAAGGAGCTTGGCCAGATCCACCCCAGCCCGAACCAATCATGTTGATCAAGCATGCCGTTGTTAATATTAGGAAGAAAAATAAATATATTTATGCTTTTTTTGGAGACAAACTATTTGGACAACGTTTGAATAAAATGTAAGACCTTGTAAAAACACAATTAAGACATTTTAATACCTTTTAAGGGCCTTCATTTTCTCGTAATTGATTTGTCAACTTTTAATACTTTAAAACTTTTAATACCGTGGACACCCTGATACACTACAGCCAATTTAGTTTATTCAATTCACCTATTGCACATGTCTTTGGACTTGTAGGGGAAACCAGAGCACCTAGAGTAAACCCACACGAACACGGGGAGAACATGCAAGCTCCACACAGAAATGCCAACTGGCCCAGCAGGAACTCAAACCAGCGGCCTTCTTGCTGTGAGGAGACAGTGCTAACCACCGAGCCACCATGTCGCCCCCTTAAAAGGCAAATTTTTTATCAAATTAGGATGTTTCGGTAATACCACCTTCCTATCTGTCATTAAACACACTTAGAAAATGCTGTTCTCTAATATTTTATATTTCATAATATCATATTTTAAAGTTAGAATCTTTCTATAATACACCCCCAGGTTGCTGTTTTCATAGGATCCTACACGAAGATCAAGATGGATACTAGGCCATGAGCAAGTGAAAAAAGACAGGAGGGATGGAAAGGAGGTGTATACATGATGTCTTGTGTGGATGGAGGCTGGTGGTAAACAGCAGGTGGGGCGGTGGGTTCAGGTTTCCCTGCACAGATGGCAGAGGGGCTGTACTGAGAGAAAGAGAGAGTCTGGGGCTCGAGGCGTGTGATTGGAGCCCAACTGATCTCTCCTTTAGACCCGATGAGCCTGATAACATGGATTGAGCTTGACCCCGTCATTCACACACACCGGCCATATAAGCGCCCTTGTGAGTTTGGACACAGTGTGGTTACTGTGGTCGTCTCAGTTTACCCGTATTTTTACTCTCCCTGCTCTCATTTTCTCTCACTCCTCTGAGAGCAGTCAAGTATTTAGTAATGTTCTCGCAGAAGTGGGTCACACAGGAGCAAAGCTTTCTGGGATGCGAGGGGTGGGCACAGATGGATGTGACACTCTGAAAACCCAATCGTCAGCCAGAACCCTTGGGAAACCACAACAAGGTCCCGTATCGCCACCCGTGAACCGCCAAGCCCCCCATCAACGATATGCTAATGACTCCATGCATGCTCTGGCTTCGTTTGGGGGGATTTTTCTCCCATTCTGGCTTGTTCTGCACTATCCCAGTGGACCTGCAGGGAAACCGTAATCTTTAATCTCAAGCGTTTCCTCCTGCTGCAGCATTTGAAGAAATTAAATCCAAATTGCTGCACGTAATTGCCAGGATGTGGCCCTCGCTGATGCCATTAAAGCTGAACTGCCTTTAGCCCGGCTCCTTTACAGGCAGTGACTCTAAAATAGCCCCCAAATCCAAACAAAGCAGCATTTCTCCAAGTGTGACCACCCAGCCTTTAACAATCCGGCCAAGTTTGTATGCTGCCACACTAACCTAACATCAATCTGCGCATTTGAGGATGAGGAACTCCATCATAAAGAGCCCAGAGTTGCGTTTGAGTGATTGTTTCTAGCCTTGCCTGTGAGCGAGTTGTTTGGGAAAATGCGTCTCTGTCTTGTGCTTGCAGGCCCATGCGGCACCATATGGCTAATGGCAAGGCGTACAGCAATTAACAGTCCTGATTAATGGAGAGCGGTCTAATTGCAGACTGGTAATTGTGCCTTTCTCTCAGCACAGGCTCTGCATTAAAACACAGCAAGACAGCGAAAAGGAGGAAGATGGGTTGTTTACTCATTTGAAATTGACGCTTTTCCACTTTGGCTGCTTTCGAACATTCTTTCGCATTTGCAGGACCTTTTGGGTTCTGGTAGCAATATGTACTTCAGATGTGATCCGTGTAATCCTGATCAAAGCTGACGTAGTGAGTCTTTGTAGGCACGTATGCTACTAAGTGTTTGTGTCAATACACTTCTTTAAATTAGTGACTATTTTGAAAAAGGGATAACAGAAGGCTGTGTGCGTGCGTGTGTGTAGGTAAGAAAGGTAGTGAGGGGGAGCGAAAGATTGAAAGAGAAAGAGGAGAGAGCCTTGGCTCGCCTGCACATATTTCATTGTCAAAACTCAAAGCAAGCTGCATTCATTAGCCGTGGAATAACAAGAGGATTCTTATTGAGTAATGAGTTTTTCCTTGTCCTAATTAACCAAGCATGAGTGGTATATTTTTAGCAGAAAACTGTTCAAATGCTCTCCACTTCTGCCAAAAATAGATGAGGACTCATCTCCACAACCCAGTTTTAAGTGCAAGGAATTTATCTTTTGATTTTAATTAAAGGTGCATGGCTTTCTCTCGCTCCCTCTCTCTCTCTGTCTTTTTTTTCCAGCAGAGCAGGAAGTGGATGACCTGGATAGAGATTCAGGAAGGGAGATAGAAGAGGCTTGCTCTGAACTTAAGGTCCGTCTTCATCCATTTCTCATTTCATGAAACACCATTTCTTAAGCCGTCACTACATACAGGGATGTGCTAAATTCAGAAATAAAAACTGTGCTATCTATCTATTTATCTATCTATCTATCTATCTATCTATCTATCTATCTATCTATCTATCTATCTATCTATCTATCTATCTATCTATCTATCTATCTATCTATCTATCTATCTATCTATCTATCTATCTATCTATCTATCTATCTATCTATCTATCTATCTGTCCTTAGGTCTGTCTGTCTGTCTGTCTATCTATATATCTGTCTGTATCTTTATATCTGACTGTCTATGTATGTATGTATGCATGTATGTATCTGTCTGTCTGTCTGTCTGTCTGTCTGTCTTTCTATGTATCTATCTGTCAATCTGTTCGTCCATACATACTGTATATCCATCCATCCATCCATCCATCCATCTAACTGACAAAAAAGTCTTATCCACAGGTGTAATGCTCTGCTTGGTGTATGTGTGTGCTCATTTCATCAAGAAGTAAAATTTCTTGAGAGAGCCACCAAAGAGCCACCAATCACGGAAACAACAGCTTCCAAAAATAGAAATGTTGCCTGGCATCGTTTTTGGACAAAGCCGAGCTTTGATTTCTAAGGCTGAGCCAGAGTCTGGGAAAAGAACAGTTCTAACTCTGATAGGAAACAGGCTGCCGTAACTTTATCAGGATCCCATTTGGGCTGTTGAAAAATGATCTGGGAGTGTCTTGTGTAATAGTGCATCGTAAGTCTAAACTTGAGCCTTGATATAAACGTACTGCATCCCTCTTAAATAGAAGTAAACTGTTTATGCTGGTTTTGACAGACGTGCATGATAAATTGAAGAATAATGATCTGACCTTTCAGCAAATTTATAATAAAGTTAATCTATCCTCCCCCTTATGTCTAATTTTACAGCGGGGCTTACACACTGCTCTGTGTGTGTGTGTGTGTGTGTGTGTGTGTGTGTGTGTGTGTGTGTGTGTGTGTGTGTGAGAGAGAGAGAGAGAGAGAGCAGAAAACTCAGCCCTGTCACACTAACGCTGGATCCATAGGGCTGCAGTCCTGCCAAGACTAGAATGATGCCAAAGTAAAGCTCTCACAGTCAGCGGGCAGAGCCGGGTAGGGAAGGTTCAAGAGCTTGATTGTGTAATACTGAAGGAGGGAGTGTGCCTCATGGTCTGTATGTGTGTGTGTGTGTTTCTCACCTGCACATGATCTCGTGCGTCAGCAGCACCCGGCACATCTCTGGGTTTTTGTCTTGCCCTTCATAGATAATTGCCTGATGGACAAGAGAAGGTGGAAAAATGTGGTTAGAGAAAATTGACAAACAACATTTTCTCCTTGATGGTGTAAACGCTCCGAGCATGCACAAATTTCCATGACTAACTCTCAAGTCGTATCATGTAAAGAATCGGATGTCTGTTTGCATCAGTTCACTGTGATGACATCACATCATTACACCATGCACACTCTTAAGCTCATAGGCGGTTCATGTGACCCTTCCTCCATCTGGCAGAGGCCTGTTGTTGAAAGAAATCATGCAGCATGGGAGTGATCAGGTCACTTTTAGTATCTTTGTTTCAAAATGTTCTGTTCTTCTGGTCCCATGTTTCACAATCTACACACTCAGCTCTAAATTTCATAGATGTCTTTTCGTTTCAGCTAATCAATCAATCAAATCCGCCTGGTGCACTGTGAGAAGGCTTGCACAGAGCCTCCGTGTGCGGGGTGGTCGTTTCTGGCTGAGCCAGGCTCAAAGTGGGCAATTTAATGGCCACTTACCTGCTGCAATGGAAAACGATCTTTAACCACGTCTCTAAGAGCTTAAACTTGATGCATCACATTCGGTTATGTGAGAACCAATGGCATTTGATGTCACTGACAGACCCAGTGATATGCAAAGATTTAACATGCAAATATGTGAATCGGTGAATATTGGTTAATGTACAGTGCTCAGCATAATTAAGTACACCCCATTTTGAAAATGAATATTTTATCCATTTCTTAGTGAACATAAGCAATGTATTTTGGTGCATTTAAAAAAACAAATTTATTTAACAGATATATTAAAATAATATTTTAGTCACCAAACATATTTAGGAATTTAAGGATAATACAATTAAGTCAAGCAAAATATTGCAATAAAAAATTACAACCAACAAAGTTTTAACTTAATTATAAAAATTTTTGCTTCTCTTGATTTTTCCTCTTTTTAAATTTGCATTTAATATTTTTCTATAACAAATACATTTGGGTGTACTAGTTTTTAGATTGCTACCGAAAGTTATTTTGTTAGATATGCTCCAGATTTGGCTTCAGTAATGACTAATCTAATGTATATGCACAAATATAATATCCTAAAGCTTCCTATTAAAAATCTGAATTTAAAAGATAGATTTGTGAGGGGTGTACCTAAATATGCTGAGCACTGTAGATTCATCCAAAGAAATGCAAAACTCTTAATCAGTAGACAGTATCAATGTTACCTTTGTCGCTGTATTTATTACATTTTAAAGTATCTGTACTTTTTCTGAGTCTAAAACTTTGACCTAACTACGTTTTATAGCATAATATTATACTTTTCACTCCTCTAAACTTCATTAAAATATGTTCATCAGCAGCTCCAAGACATGATTGTGAATGAGCAATTGCTTGTTTCAACAACTCACTGAGTCAATAATTCAATCAGAATGAATTTACAATTAACAATTAACTAAATTAACAAATCTGACTCAAAATGAGAAGAATGTTAGACTCTTGAAGTAAAAATAAACATTCCTTCAAGCACAGAAGTACATATTTAAATCAATACCAATGGATGTGAGATGTTCACTTTTTTTTTTAATAGTAAAGGAATCAAACCTCTTTTTTATATTTGATTATAATGTTAACATTTATGTTCGATTTTAATTTCCAGCATTCACTTCTATATGACAACAAAACGCTTTTCTTACTCAGATTTTTTTGTTTAGTTTCTAGTCTAGTCTATCTAAAACCTTTCTTTTCTAGGCAAGCAAAACATATTGTCTTGTTTTCAGAAATAATATGCCATTATTAAGTGAGCTTCCCTTAAAACAAGCAGAATAAATCTGCCAATGGGGTAAGAAAAATAATCTTGTTTTTCCTTTTGACATAAGATTATTTTGCTTAGCACATTGGCAGATTATTTTGCTTGTTTTAAGGAAGAACTCACTTCATTTTGGCATATAATTTCTTAAAACAATTCCATATGTTTTGCCTGTCTAGAAAATTCTTCTTGATTTAAGAAGTTTTAGATATTTGTACTAGAAACAAGACAAAAACTTGTGTTTGTAGTGTGCACTAAAAATGCGGCTTTCCACACTGGGGATGTGCGATCAATCGAAATCAAATCGCAATCACAATTTGAAGCATTGCGGTTAGTTAATCGCAAGATGCAGCGATTATAAAACATATATGTATTATTTATTTTCTCTCACCAAAGGAAATGTGTGACTGCTGTCTGTGTGTGACCGTCTTACTAGCCAATTGAGTGAGCACAGTTTCATTCTGCCCAATCAGTATTGTACAACTGAACTATGCGGAACACAAAATAAAAAAGAAAAGAAATCAAACAGGAAATCGCAGACAAGTAAGTTAATGGCGTCTGCTACTTTAGAAGCATTAATAGATGAATTAATATCAAAGCAAAACAGCATTGGTAATATGAGAATATGTTGGTTTTAAAGTCACAGACACTATAAAATTCTCAAAATTTTGATCAAAACGGTCCTGATCTTAATCTTGTCAGCGTGGTCAACTGTGGGAGCATCTTTTCAGTAGGCAAAATTCATTTATTTTTTGCTTTTTTTATTGTTACACTTTCTATGTTCTCTCTTATTATGCGCCTATTGCTGCTACTGTTTTTATGCCCATATCGTTTGTTTAATTTTTTCTCTGTAGAGCACTTTGTGGAGCCTTATGGTAGTTGGAAGCGTGCTATATAAATAAACTGAGCTTGAACCAAACAGAAACGGGTTATTTTTAAGAGCTGTCGCAGAATTGTTGCCATGACTTACAGATTATTGAGCTTGAATCTTGACTACAAAATGAAATGACAAAACAAATCACAATATCTTTGAAAACAAATCTCAATTAGATATTTTCCCCAAATCGCACAGCCCTATTCCACACAACTGATTTGTGTTATGACAACATAAAGGAATTAAGTTAACTTAGTAGTTTTAAGAAATTTAAGTGGGCTGAACATAAAACAATTAAATTGTTCCAAAAAAAACTGGAGAATTGGGTTTTTTCAGCTCAATTTTAAGAAGCGTGTGTGTTTTTTGCCCTATCTTCATTTTTGTGTAATCATTGTTGACTTCTTAAATAAAAGAAAAAACAAACAGAGACAAACAGATGGATAGATAGCCAATTTCTAAATTCTGAATTTGCACAATCGTGCATTGTACGCTCTTGGCAAAATCCAGCCTCATCATTTGTTGCTCTTTGGTTTAATTAAAAGCAGCCGTGGAGAATCAAAAGAACTATGCATGTAGTGTTTGTTGCACTGTGCAGATTACTGTCTTATTATGTCATAGAGGACCACCCTTTGCCACAGTGCCCACCCTCCACAGGCATCTGAGGTTTACAGATTGGCTAATAATACAACAGCACAAAACACTGTTGTTCAGAGAAACACTCTTGCTGCAAAGTGAAGTGAAAAGATAAAGATAAAGAAGGGCAAACTTATAAAGTGCTTAATTACAGGTCCCTCTAAATAAGTGTCGTACTCCAGCTAGTGTGAAATAGCCCTCTCAGAAAGATGTGTGCGTGCATGAGCTGCCATAAGCCTGCATCTGTGCGACTGTGCATGTGTATGCATTCACGCATGTATTTGTGCATTAGCATGTGTGTGTTTATGTGTGCAGCAAGCAGTTGGGCTGCCAGACTGGAGCATAGTAAGCCATCTGGCCCAGCTAACACTTCATCCAAAAACCTCAGCTTTGTTTCCATCCTCCAATTCCAGACAAGATGTCCCCCACAGCCGTGAATCAGTGACTCTACTCAAAACATACACACATTGCAGCCTATTAACAGGCTGCTCTCTGTCACACACACACACACACACACACACACAGTTAAAGCCGTTTGCCATGAATCACTCTCTCTTTCTCTCTGAACACACATATACATGCCACCCATGGCAAGTGAAGACACAGAAAAGCAGCTGATGGTTCTAATGAGGAACTGCTTGCTTCACAAGTGCGCAATGCTTTTTCAATTACATGAAACACTTGTTTGAAAACAAGTTTTATATGCATCAGATCTAGAAAAGAAAGTTGATTCGTATGTGATGCTTTTCTTATTTCCTGTCATTGCCATGGCTAGAGGACAGTGGTGATCGGGGACATTTGTTTGTTAGGTTTCACATTGTGGAAATGAGGGTCAAGGTCCTCTAAAATTGAGCTAGCATGCATCACTGTCTGAGCCTAGAGCCTCGACCCCGCAGGCTTTCTGAGAGGAAGAGGGAGGCAGAAGAGAGCAGCTCAGGCCGCACAAAGATGTCCTCTACACCACCGCACATTCATTTCATATATAAGACCGGCTATTTATCACACAAAGCCCCTGCAAACAGACTCAGAATAACTCCATGCAGAGAACAGTATATATAAGTGCCTGGAAAAAGTCTGAGAACAGTTTGTCAATTTCTCCTCAGAGGCAAACACAACAATGGTTGTGAATCCTCCTCTGGGTTCAAGCTAGTGCAACACAAAGCGTCATGGCTTTGTGGTTTTTTTCTGTAGCCCTTAAAGTCACGTTTGTTGTGCAAAGGCAAAAATGCAGCAGATTCCGATTATGCTGAGGTAACTTTGGTCTCTTCTACCAGAGCTTTTCCTAAAATAAAAAATACTTTTTTTCCACATAGTAGAAAATGGGCCTTTAGGAATAGAAACATATTGTCAAATGGTATATATTAGAGGTCTATGGAATCAAAAATGGTGACACGGTGGCACAGTGAGTAGTGCTGTCCCCTAACAGCAAGAAGGTCAGTTGGCGTTTCTGTGTGGCGTTTTCATGTTCTCCTCGTGTTCGCATGGGTTTTCTCCGCGTGCTCTGGTTTCGCCTACAGTCCAAAGACATGCTCTATAGGTAAATTGAATAAGCTTAATTGGACGTAGTGTATGTGTGGGCGTGAATGCAAGAGTGTATGGGTGTTTCCCAGTGCTGGGTTGCAGCTGGAAAGGCATCCTATGCGTAAAACACATAAGTTGGGGGTTCATTCCGCTGTGGCAATCTCTGATTATTAAAGTGACTAAG